TTAACACTCACCTAGCTGTGCAGGCTTTGTTTATTTAGAGTTCTCCTGGGTGCGACCACCACTGTTACAAGCTTTCCCCTTTCCAAGCACACTGGGGGAGGTGGCGCTACATCTGCCTTCTCCAGGTGGCTTGTTTATTTACAGTTCACGTGGGAAGTGTCCCTTCCCCCATCTCCAGTGGAGCTTTCCTCACACAGCCACTTTTACAAGCTTTCCCACTCCAAGGTTGCTGGGTGGGGGGCGCCACTCCTGCTTTCTCCAACCAGCTTGTTTATTTACAGTTCTGTGAGGGATTGCCCCTTCCCCTCCCTTCAGCGCTCAGGACACCCTGCCCTCTTTGCTATGTGTCTCTTTTTGTTGTTGTTGTTTATTCAGTTTGGTTTTTTTCTCTTTTTTCCCTAGGTGGGGGTCAGTCTGCCCAAGGGCTATGCTGATCTGGCCCAGGGTTTTTTGTGGGAGTATTGTGTGCTGCTTAGCTCACCTGGTGGTCTGCTTCTCTCGAGCTGTAGGAGCTGGTGTCTGGTAATGCGGGAGCCCTCCTGGTTTCCCCATTTAATATGGAGTGGGGATGCTATGAATGAGCTGGGGGTGTGGAGGTGTCAGAGTTTTGCCTCTTCTTGGTGGTTTTTCCTGCCAGGTGTATCTCCAGCATCTCTCCAAGATTTTACTTTAGGAAGCATGCTTTTTGCTTCCTCCCTCTAGTCGCCATCTTCTGTTCCATTGATCTTCATGTCTGTTTTGTGCCATGCTGTTTTGGTTACAATGGCTTTGTAGTATAGTTTGAAGTCTACTTCCACTGTTGTTCTCTTTTCTAAGGATTACTTTTGGTTTTCATGTGAGTTTTAGCATTGCTTTTTCTATTTTTGTAAAAAATGACATTGGAATTTTGGTGGAAATTGCATTGAATATGAAGATTGCTTTTGATAGTATAGCCATTTTCACAATAGTAATTCTTCCACACCACAAACATGGGACTTTCTATGTCTGGTGTCTTCTCCAGTTTCTTGAAAGTTTAATAGTTTTCATCATAGTGGTCTTTTGCTCTGTGGTTTTATAGTTAAGTTTATTCCTAGGTATTTTATGGTTTTTGAAGCTATTGTAAAAGGAATTCATTTCCAGATTTTTTTCTTAGCCTTTTCATTGTTGGTATACAGAAAAGGTACTGATTTCTATATGTTAATTTTATATCATGGCACATTACCAAAAAGGTTTATCATATCTAGAAGTTTTTTTGGTGAAATCTTTAGGGTCTTTTAGGTATCAGATCAAATCAACTGCAAATCAGGATAATTTGACTTCTTCCTCCATGCTTGAATCCCTTTTATTTCTTTTTCCAGTCTTATTGCTCTGGCTAGGAATTTCATTACTATATTGAGTAAGAGTGTGGAGAGTGGACACCATTGTTCCATTTTAGAAGAAGTGATTTCAGTTTTCCCCATTTAGTATGATGTAGGCTATTATTTTCCTTCTCTTCCTATTTTTTCAGAGCTTTTATCATGAAAAGATATTGAATTTTTATCAAGGGTTTTTTCCACATCTATTGAGATGATGATTTTTGTCCTTTGTTCTATTTATGTGCAATATTGTATTTATTAATTTGTGTATGCCTCATTGCATCCCCAGAATGAAACCAACTTGATCATTTTGTATGAAGTTATTAATGTGCTATTAAATTTGGTTTTCAAGCATATTATCAAGAAATTTTATATCCATGTTCATCTAGAAAATTAATCTACACTTTTCTCCTTTTTGTTGTTTCCTTTATCAGGTTTTGGTGTCAGAGTAATACTAGCTTCATAGAGTTTGGTAGTATTTCTTCAATTTCTATTTTATAGAATAGTTGGAAGAGCATTGGTGTTAGTTCTTTAAAGGTCTGATGAAATTCAGAAGTCAACTTATCCAGTCCTGGGTTCTTCTTTTTGAAGAGATTCTTTGTTACTGATTCAATCTCATTGCTTGTTATTGACCTGCTTAAATGGTTTGGATCCTCCTTGTTCAATATTAGTGGTTCAAGTACATTGAGAAATTTATCCATTTCTTCTAGATTTTCTAGTATATCAGAATATAAGTATTTAAAGTATTCCATAATAATCTTCTGGATTACTTTGGTGTTTATTTTGATATCTCCATTTCATCTGTAATTTATTAATTTGTTTCTTTTCTCTCCTTATTTTGGTCATTTGGTTAAGAGTTTATTTTTCTTTTAATTTCTTCAAAGAGCCAACTTTTTGTATCATTTATTCATTGTATTATTTTTTAAGTCTCTATTTCATTAAATGCTGCCCTAATCTTTATTATTTCTTTACACCTATTAATGTGGAGTTTGGGTTGTTTTGTTTTGCTTAGAGCTTGAAATGCTGAATCCTTTGTTACCTGGCCTGTGTCCCCAGGGCCAGCACATGCCTAAGACTCAGGGTGACCCCCAGATACATCAGAGTGGGAGGGGGAGCAAACAGACCATTGAGGTCTGCACTGGATGGGGGAAAACTGAGGGACATAGTCAATCTTCCTGCTGGTCTCAGTGCTCACAAACCAGTCAAGCAGTTCACCTCTCTATGGAGAGGGGAAAGCTGTGGAAGTTTTGCAATTCAGAGGGTCTGGACTCTGAGCCCTCATTCCTAACTGTTTGCAAACACACACCAGGATGCAGCTCCTGCAACAAGTCTCAGTGCTTTCAGGCCCTTCTGAACAATTCAGTTCCTGTGTGTGTGAAGGGGAGGGGATATGATTCAGAGGGTTGAGGTGCAGGGCTCTGATCCACTTAGCAGTCAACATGTGTAACCAGAAGGCAGGACCTGGAGACTGAATACTAAGCCAGCCAGATACTCTGTGCCTTGTTTCCACCTGAACCTCAGATGATAAGACTTGCTCCAGGTGGGAAGGATAGGGCTTCAAACCATTGGGGTCTAGGCTGCCACTGGAATTCCCCACTGCTTGTATTTGATCTGTAGAACCATGTCAAATCCTCTCCCTCTCCTCAACTATCTGTTGTGGCCATCTTCTGCCCAAACTCTATGGCAGAGTGTCCTTTGTTTTTAGGCCCCCAGAGTTTCTCAGTTTCAAATAGGCTTTCCCTCAAGCTATCACCTTCTGAGATTTGCCTTCTCCACTGGAGCCCTCATTATCTTCCAAATTCCCAGATGGGTTTAGGTTTGGAACTGTTGGCTACTTTTCTTTGTTTTCTTTGCTTTTCTGCCACCCTATCCTGCTACCTCTTTTGCCATTCCCAATTTTCTCTCTCTCTCTCTTCAGAATATAGTCTTTTCTGTGTTACCTGAATCTTCTCATTCATGGAGTCAATGGTTACTTCTGATCTACCATCTTGCCCCGCCTCTTCTCTATACTGTGTCTTTAAACACAAAAAATCAGTGGGTGTCTTAGTCTATTTTGTGTTGTAATAACAGAATACTTGATGCTGAATAATGTTTAAAGAAAAGAGGTATATGGTGCTGGTTTCTGGCTGTATTATAACACAGTGGAAGAATCAAAAGAGAATCAATGCATGTAGAAAGGGCATATGTCTGAACAAGGAAACAAGAGACTAGTTAGGAGTTGGACTTGCTCCTTTTATAACAGCAATGGGAAAAAAATCCAGTCCCACCAGACCTTACCCATTATCACAAGGCAGCATTTATCAATTTACAAGAATGGAGCTCCCATGACTTAACCACCTTCCACTGTATCCTGCCACTTAAAGTTCCCACCATCTCAACATTGCCACACTGGAGACAAAGCTTCTATCACATGCACTTTTGGGGAATAAACCATATCCAAACCATAGCAATGGAGTGAAATTATAATATGAGAAGTAATAGGAAGGAAGTTAGAACAGAGAAAACAACTGGTAAATATCTTCCATCATCTTAGACTATTTTAGAAAGAAGTCAGATTAGCATGGTGAAGAGACATCTACTCACTTATATTCATTTTAGTACTATTTATAATTGTCAATAAATGGAAACAGCTTAAGTGTTCATCAAACGATGAATGGATAAGTAAAGAAGGTACATGTGCACCACGGGTTGCTATTGAGGCATATGAAAGAGTACAATCCTGTCATTGTGCAACATGGATGGAACTGGAGATTGTTTCAGGAAACAAGTGAGTCACGTGAGAACAAGTACCACATGACCTCACTTATATGTGGAGTGTAACAAGTTCATCTTATAGAAGTTGAAAATAAAAAAGTGGCTACCAGATGCTGGGGATAATAGAGAATAGAGAGAGAAGGGGTAAGGTTTATTAGTGGGTATAGGTTGCAGTTAGATAGGAGCAAGGCATTCTGAAGCACCATTGCACTGGTAGGGCCACTACAGAGAACATTATGAACTATATATTCCAAAAAGCTAGAAGGATTTTGAAAGCTTTCACCAGAAAGAAATGATAAAATCTAAGAAGATGGATATGTTTAACTTGATTTAAATATTACAGTGTGGATTGTATGTATATATATTACCTTATTAATATATATGTATAATTTGTATGTTTTCAATCTATCAGTTAAAAATGACAAAATATAGCCAGGCACCAGTGGTTTACAGCTGTAATCCTAGCTACTCAGGAGGCAGAGATTAGGAGGATCATGGTTCAAAGCCAGCTCAGGCAAATAGTTTGTAAGACCCTATCTCAAAAACACCTATCACAAAAAAGGGCTGGAGGAGTGGCTCAAGGTGTAGGCCCTTAGTTCAAACCCCAGTACCAAAATAAATAAATAAATAAATAAATAAATAAAATAAAAGCCATGGACACATGGTAAAAATAAAAACATCGTCTGAACTTTTTTGAATCAAAAAGGAGGAGCTCAACAGCTTACATTTTTCATATTATTCTCTCTGTTGCAATAGAAATATAAAAGACCAGTACATATATTCAGGTTTTCAAGTTCCAAGTTCAATACCATCAACTGACCTTCACGCTCCTGACACTTTTGCATTATAATTGTACCTAGCAAGCTCAGTTCTCTCATTTATTCTCCCTGTGTTTATCTATGTTTTCACACAGGCAACTATGGAGAAAGTGGTATGGAAGCTTTCAAAGACATGTCTGCCAAGGAAGGAATTTGCATCGCCCACTCTTACAAAATCTACAGCAATGCAGGAGAGCAAAGCTTTGACAAGCTGCTGAAAAAACTCACAAGTCACTTGCCCAAGGCCCGGGTGGTGGCCTGCTTCTGTGAGGGCATGACAGTGAGAGGTCTGCTGATGGCTATGAGACGCCTGGGTCTGGCAGGAGAATTTCTGCTTCTCGGCAGGTAAGTGACGATCAACAGTTAATGCCAGGAATTTGGCAGCATTCTAGAGCATCATTTGTGCATGCAGACAGATGCTGTAGAATTTTAATCTACGTAGTGGAAGCAGAGCATAAATATAAATTATGGAAAATAAGTAGGTCTGATACATACTTACTAAAAATGATAACAAGAACAACATGGGAAGACAATAAGTTTGTAAATTGTCAAAAATGTTTATATGGAAATGAGATAGAGTCTTAAATGTTTTAGTAGTTATGTTGAGAAATATCAAATTGAAATTGAAATTGATTTTGGGAATGCCTATGTACGTTTGGTTTATAATATATAGAATTATAGAACTTGGTGTTTTAAAAGAGGGATTACCTTCAGAACTAATTTTTGAAAGATAACTCTATTGTGTTAATATATTTATTATATTTCCAAAGTGTTATTACTTTGCCTACCTACATTGTTACTAGACAAGTTTCTAAAGCATTAACTTCTAAAAGGATTGGCTTTATTGATCTGGGTATGTCACTTAATTTCCACAACTGACCTTATTCCCTTCTGATATTGCTGAATCAGTTTTTCGGTCAAGTTTGCAGAGAGACAACCAAAAGTTAGTGCACAAAAATATCTATACACAATATGTACATATATGTATGTGATTTATTATAAGATGATTAAGGAGGCATGAATTCACAAGGTCTGCCTTTGTCTAGCTAGAAACCAGGAGAGTCTTTGTGCTGTTGCAATCTAAGCACAAGACTAAGAAACATGAGAGTTATGTTAGGGTCCATTCTGAAAGCCACTAGGCCCAAGGCCCAAGAAGAGCCAGTTTCATTACAAATCTGAAGGCTAGGAAAGACCAGGACCTATCTCATGTACTAAGGGAAAAAGTGTTCCCTCTCACTCAGCCTTTTTTCTGTTGAGGTCTTTAGGTGATTGAATGAAGCCATTCTCAGTAGGGAGAGCATTGCTTTACTCAATCTGCAATTCAAATATTGTCATCCAAAAACATCTTCACAGATACAAACAGAATAATGTTTGGCCAAATATCTGAGCAGCCATGGCTCAGTGAAATAGATACAACAGATTAACCATATAATCAGTAAGTGACTGCCATAGTTTTGAATGCATGACTGAAGTTTATTCTGGAAAGAATAGCATTAGGATTTATCAGAGGCATATAAGCTTCTTCCATTCTATACCTTTAAAAAGTTATTCTGTATTGCATATCTTTCCTCAGTAAGCAGTGAATTTAATGAGTGGCAAAAGCCTTAGAAACTATTGCCTTCTCAATATTCTGTCTGCAGTAGAAAACCATGACACTTACTATTAACTTTTGATGGCTTGTTAAAGACATACTTCCCTTTGTTTCCAAATGCTTCCTTGACTTTCTGTGGTCAGACTTAGCTTCTCATTAGAAATATTTTCTGTCAGTCACTTTATGTACCTAATTCTTTTTTGTCTGATCTGATGGCAGTCAATTGATGGAGATATTTTGGTATGACACTACATATCCTTCATAAAAATGATATTGAGTGGAGTTACTTTTTCATTGATGTGTATATTTTATCTAAAATCATCCTTGCTGGCAGAAGTGCTGCAGCACGTAGTTTTATACAACCCAAGAATAGACCCACTGACAATATTCTTATATTCCAAAGGGCAGTGCTACCACTGGTGTAAAAGCATCAGTAAAGGAGCTGGCATTAACAGTACTACATTTTTTCTGAGCGGGGACTAAAGGATTCTGCAGTTTCTATCTGTTGCTATTGCCAGCACTAGATAGCAAGAAATTAGAAATTATTCACCAGAAACAGATTAGTATTTATTATATTTGCCATTTTCTATTTAGCATTTTATTGCCAGCTATACCACAAAGTCAAAATTCAATATTTTGTATATTTTTGAATTTATTCTGACTATGCTAAATACAGAAAGTTCTTTCCAAGTCACTTAATATATAGAAAGTAGATTTATAACCTATAGTTAGATTTGTCAATCCCATTATTGATTGGTTATATAATAATTCATATTTACTTGAACACTATCTCATCTTTGAGTAAATTTTTATAGGAAATATCCTTCCTGTTCTGAACAGGAAAATATTTCCCTAGGACTAAGGATGTTAGCTCAATTGTGGAGTATTTTTCAAGAATGCAGAAAGTGTTTGAACTCCAGCACCACAAGAAAAAGAACAAAAATTTCCCTGTAATTTCCATTTTTTCACTCACAGTTTTATTTCCTTGACAGTAACATGTAATGCTCTTTCAAATATTTGGAAATGATAATGTGGTCCTCAGTCCCCTTCAGGTTCTCTCAAGAACATTCCTACTTCCTCCAACTGTTTTAGTGAGATGGCACCGTGTGTGTGTGTGTGTGTGTGTGTGTGTGTGTGTGTTAAAGCTACTTATCAAAATCATTTATCAAGCAGGTCCATTTATCAAGTGTTTTGTGCCAATAACATGTTAGGACATTACAGGCATTATCTCATTTAATTATTCATTTGACAAGTATTGAATGTCTATTATGCATTAAAGGGCTTGGGATACATCAGTGATTGAAAAGGCAAAATTGTTAATTTTGTGGAGCTTACAGATTGACAGTAATAAGTTCTATGAAAAACTACATCTGAGAAAAATCTGCATGTTGAGTACTATCATAATCTCCACCTCAATAAATATAATAATATTTATAGAAAAAGACTCCACCTCAATAAATATAATAATAGTTTCTAAGTAATAGAAAGGCAAATATCAATAGTTGTAAGAAAACATTCAGGATAGTCCTCTTTTATACCAAGACACTGATACCTCCAGCTCTTGGAAGATGTGCTCAAAGTCACACAAGAAACAAGTTACCATGAGTCATAACCTAGTGCTTTTCTCTTACCAACCTGACTTCTACAGACTAGGAACATGGGAGAAGTTATACTGTGATACCAAATTCCTGGTTCTACATAGATCCTGGGTCTATTAAAAAATCCTAGATAATTTTAATTTAGCATTTAGTATCACTGTTTCTTCCTAAAAATTCCTATCAGTTCATCTCGTAATTCCTCTTTGATGATTTTCTTTGCTTGTATTCTCTCTTTTTGTTCCTTCTTTTCCCTAATTCGAACTTGGATGAATGACTCTTAGGATCTAGAAGTCAAAACTATATGAAAAGATACTATCTTCAGAATGTACTGGAGGTTCCCACATTTAACAACTATAGTTACTTACAAATCTCTCCAACTGCCTTGGGTCAGCCACATTTAATAGGTCAGTTAAAGTGTTTGGAAGAAATGAGACAACTCTGCTGCTGAGACAACCTCATCCATCAATGTCTCTCAACATTTGTGCTGTACATGGATGGAATGTTAGAGTGATGTAGACCCAGCCACTGGGTCTTCCATTTGAGCTCTAGGAAGTCAGTTGTCTCACTACCAATAAAAATGTCCTGTTCAGGTCCCTAGCATGGCCTTGATACAGACTTTGGCCCTTACAGAAAGATGAAATCAATATTCTGAACAATAATGACATTTTTAAAGTGGCTTGTTTTCTAGAATGAAAACACTGTCATACTTCTAGATCTGTAAAAGTAGTACTGGAGATAAAGTATTTACAATTTATAAATCAGAAACAAACTGGAAATACGAACGGATTTTTATCAAATTAACTATTTAAAGATAATTTTATTAGCTACAACTTCATGTCTGTTCTTCAGTATGGTGAATGTTGCCAGGTCATAAAGAGAGGTGTTCTTAAACTTTAAAAGTATGTGGGAATTATAAATATCATTTCTTAGTAGGAGGTTACTTCACCTCTATATTTTTCAAAACAGAAAGGATAAGATTTCAACAAATATCTTTGCTTATGAAATTGTAAGCAATTGTCCTAGTAAAACCATGGTAGTAGTTATTGTCAGGATATAGATATAACTCTTTTTCTCTACACCAACTCCAGAATATCCATTGCAAATTACATGCATTTGCAAGCAAATATACCAGCCTTTTGCTGGACCAGTTGGTGTCATTACATTGCAGGATAGAAGAAATGTTATTCCATTGAGTTTCAAGAAGGGTGGACAAAGAAGAGTGAGATAATCTCATTTGAACTCTAAACAACACTGAATATGTCAAGATTAGATGCCTTTGAGATAGGTAATAAATATCCCTCATATATAGCAGAAAAGAAATAAGTCTCCAAGATTTTAAACAACTGGATAGGATTACACACCACACTTACCATTCTAATTATCACAAAGGCAGGACTCTTCCAGCTACAAAAATGTTTCAACACTTGGATAAACTCAGTTTAATTTTGCCTGAGTTTTGCTTTGTTATTTCGGGTTATCTTTTGAAAAAATTAAGGACCCCTATTAAAAGCCTTAAAAATTATTGAGATGTTTGTGATAAATTTGAAATGCAAATAAAGTCAGTCAAACTATGTCCCACTTTGAGTAGATTTTATTTCTCCGATTTACATGTGAATTGGGAAGAGCGAGGTAATCACGTAATGCTGTCTTCAAGCAGCCAGTGGTTAGTCATATATGCCTCAGACCATGCTGAAACTTATGGTCTGAGTGAAAAGAATCAAGACAGCATTGCTAAAAGAAGTTTGTAGAGCAGCCTAACAGACGCACCTTGTAGTAGAAAAAATGATGTTAAGAGAAAGCTAATTTTTTTCATTGAAGATCTTACTTTTCATTTCTTTAATTTTTTATTGTTGTGGCATACACAACAATAAAATGTGGGGGTACATTGTGGCACTTACCAATGTTCTTATAATATATCAAATATGTCATACTTGAATTCACTCCCTCTATCATTCTCTTTTTTCTCTCCTACTCCCATTCCTGGAATAGTTTCAACAGGTCTCAGTTTTCCATTTACATACATTTGTACAAATTATTTACACTGTATTCACCCTCCTACACCCTTTCCCTGCCTCCTTCCCCCTCCCACTGGTACCATCCCCCCCAAAGGACCTGTTCTATCCTCCTGTTCTCTGACAGTAAAAGAAAAAAAAATG